CTGTACTATGTCAGTTGCTATGGTGATCACTTAATACTGAAACATATAACCTCTAACATACATATGTTTTACAATTTTTTTTAACTATAAAAATTGTACTAATAAGTAATATAGTAGATTATAGTACTTTTTATATATATAGTTTTGATTTAATTATGATAATTTTAATTCTTAGTATTTTCTCTTAAACTTATAGAATATTATAGAAAATATGTAAAGAATACTAGTACCAAATTTTTATATATAGTTATAATAGTAATTATTGTAATAAAAAATTCGTAAGTTATAACTATAAATTCTGTATTATAGAAAATAGTAAAATTGGACTTAAAATCGTATTCTTAATAAGTAGCTTAATACTTAACTATTAATTATATAAAAAAATATATAGTGACTACATATAATATAGTACTCATTCTAAAAGTTTCAGCTACAAATAGTGTCTCCTTAAATTAATATTAAATGTGTTGTGTGTGGGAAAACTTTCTGTTCACTAAATCAGTGCTGATCATCAAAATTCTAACATTCCAACACTAATATCTCAGCTTCAACTCATTGTTTTCTGCTCAAATTTCGTATTTAAGTAATATCTACTGTAGGCTACCTGTATGTAAAATTTCAAGAAATTTTACTAAGAATTGAGGGGGGTATTGTACAACTGAGCGTTAACTGGTAACTGAGCGCGAACCGGTGAAACACAGTAATTTACTGACAGACAGAAAATATAATTCATCAGAGCTTCGCTTAGCCGTGCTTTGTTTGTTTACGCACGCCAGATGAGGAAATGTTGTAGGCTGTACATTTTGTGCGAGCTAGTGCTGTCCCGATCATTCTTCACTCGCAACCCTGTCTATATGCGCCATCTTCCCTTTCTCTTCCTCCCACTACTCTCATCCAACACGACGCTACATGTCTGTCCCTATCGCCCCGCCTCCAACGTATGACCAGGGTCAACAGGGTGAACTGTATGCATCCCAACACGAAGCGCAGTCATCCACCGACGCTGCGCGTCTCACTCCAGCAGACGCACAGCTTCTCATCAGTCCCTCGGGCAACGCGACTCACTTCCAGAAGGGCTATCTCGGTGCCAATGATGAGCGAGCAGCCATTGAGGGCGAGCTGCAGATAAAGGGTGTCCCACTTGACATTTGGGAGAGCTTGTATGCTTTGTCTAACATCTTGAAACTCGTGTATACGCTGACACTGCTCCCGTCGCAGGACCATTACACTTACATCGACCGAGTCGGACGGGAAACAACAAATCGAGCTCAACTCGGTCCCCGTCAACTTGTACTCTCGCAATGGTCAGTCTGGTTCAAATGCGTACACGGTTGCATCGTCCATCCCTTTCGCCATACCGCTTACACCGGATACTCCTCAGTGTCTGCACGCCGGGCGCTCATCGCTCTCCCATGTCTTGACGGCCACATTGCTCACCTCAGACCCGGCTCTTCCGGTCCTGTCTCGTAGTATCAACGTCCACACCAAAAAATTTACATCACATCTAACGGATTGCGAGGTACAACCTCGCTCTGTTTCATTAAGCAGTCCGACCACCGTTCAAGTCGAAGTTGCCAGGACAAGCTACCGGGTCAATGAGCCCATACCTGTCTACGTTACTATCCCTCCTCCTGATCGAAGCGTCATCCTTGATCATGGCTTCACCCTAAGGAGCGTTAGAGCGGAGCTTATTCGTACGATCAAAGTGCAAAATCAAGATCAAGCTGATGCGCCCCAAGACAACGGTGTTGCAGACGAAATCGATGGAGATGACGCCTCAGATGCTGACGACGATTCGGACTCGGCGTCAAGTAACGGCGTTCCTCCTAGCGCGGAGTTCTCAGGCGCATTCGGTAACTCGGGATCCACCTCGTACGCGGCGACGTCTTCCAACGTACCAGTGTCCTTTGGCGGGACTGACTTTCCGAACGAGACGATTGTCGCCCGTTCTGGGAGCTCTTGTCGATTCCACACGTCTCGACCCGTGAAGCTAAGGCTTGTTCTCCATAGCAGCCTTCCCAGTGGCTCACCAAACGGAACCAGCGCCCGACTTCCTGAACCGGAAGGTTCCTTCGTAGATAGAGACTCCCAATGCGCGTCAATTTCTCAGTCGACAGTCCTACACTCTGTTGAGTTCCTGATACAAGTCCGGACAACGTTTTTACACGTCTCAACGCGTTCGGAACGGACTTTCCCACTCATCATACCAGTCACTATCCTCCCTCCTCCAGCACCATTGCCAGAACTAGATCCTTCACTCGACTCTGCATATCGAAAGAAGCACGACCGTCCGCCAGTGAAGACTGTCAGGCGAGAGGACTCAGACGTCTACACTGACGAATACGAGACTGGACAGCCAGGGCCGAGTGCGATCCCAGGTGGAGCGCCACCACCATTTGATGATGCCCCACCGCCGTTCTTCTCTGTTGGCGAAGCATCGACGTCCCGACTTCCGACCTTCTTTGAATCGGAATCTGAGATCATCGTACCCTCTGAGGATCATCCTGCTGTGGGAAACGCGCTTTTGCCGCCTCATGGTGAGTTGATGAGCATTCTGGGTGAGGGTGTGTTGTTTGGTTTCCCTGCGTCGGAGAGGTATGACGGACATTCGGACGAGATGACGCGCTCGGCGACTCCGCCGCCATCACTTGAGATGGCAGAGAGCGATCAGGATGTGACCAACCTCGCGGAGCTCGTGGACCAACCTGAACGCGCAATTGACGCGCTCAACCTCGTCCTGGAAGAGCAACAAGAGATATCCCGCTCGCGAGCGGACGGAGACCTTCTCCCGCCTCCTCCACCTCCGCCAATGGACGACCCGTCGGACCCACCACCATCCATCGACTCCGAGTTTCGTTCACGAAATCCGAATCCCGACGAGGACCCACCCCCGTCGATTCTTAACCCAGACTTCCGGACTACGGCGCGTAGTCCGAGGTCTCCACCGCCCGCAGGTAGTCCACCCATGGGTCGATCTACAATGCCTCTAGCAGAAGCGCCGACTGCGCTGGACGTATCAAGTAGGAGGCCTAGCGTTCCAGAGGAGCCATCTGGGATATCACCATCCCATGCTCCTCCTCCGTACCTTAACCCTGTGACACCAGGGGACACGGAACATGTGAGCGGACCACCACCATACGTGGACCTTGTGCCATCTGTTACTAATCACTCACATTAATAATAATAATGTATTGACTTGATGTCAATGTGATTACCTTTATCAAATATTTCTTTCTTCGTTTGTACATCGTTGCCTCTTTGCGTACTTATTGCCTTGAAACAACTTGAACACTGTACGTAGAACGCATTGTCGTATCGTATCGCATATCGTATCGCATCATATATCGTATATCATATATCTCTTCTGAGAGACAGACCATAAATTCAAAGTACGAATGACGGGGATGAATGAATGAAAAACAGTACAAATTGGTAATCATTTACCATAACTAAATATACTATGGTAAGCGGAAACAGGAGGTGGGGAGATATGGAAATTGTCGTTGCGAGGGGCAGAGAGGAAAGGGAGGAAGAGACGGATGGATGAATGTAATGCCACACAGAATCCTGGAACTTTAATTAACACTGGCAAGCATCTTTGCGAGCGTTGGTATTCTCTTCCAAGTTTACGTTCTGCTGATTCGCGCCTGCTCTCCCTGCTGGCCCACCATTTCGCCCTGCTCCACGTGTTGAGGCTAGGATGTGCTCGATTGGGATCTTCTTGGCTATAAAATCAGAATCATAAATAGTCAGCAACTTCAGTCAGATAGACAGAATTAGAGTCGTACCAATTTCAGTGAAGAGCTCTACAATGCCTTCACCAGTCTTAGCACTCGTCTCAAAGAAGAGCAAGCCGGCCTCCTTCGCGTACATCTCGGCCTCGTCCGTGGGTACCTGCCGTAGTGTCTCCGACTCAGCAGCTACAGCCTCACCAGGGGTGGCCGTAGCATCATCTGGCTCATCTTCAGCATCTGAAGAGCCACCTGTGGCGGGAGACTTGGGCTGTACGAGGTCGAGCTTGTTGCCGGCCAGAGCGATGACAATGTTAGGGTTTGCTTGACGTTGGAGCTCCTTCACCCACGACTTGGCCTTCTCGAGACTGGCCATCTTCGTGATGTCATATACCACTACCGCAGCCTGAGCGTTGCGGTAGTACATTGGCTACAAAATGGGGATGAGGATGGGATGCGCAGTCAGACATACATGCGTTGCCCATGAGAAAATAGAAAACACGAGGAGGGCCTTGTACTTACGGCAAGTGAATGGAATCGCTCTTGACCAGCCGTATCCCAAATTTCATATCTTAGGACGCGGTCTTCAAGACGGCATTTCTGAGTGAGGAAAGCGGCTCCGATGGTGGGTTCCTTGTTTGGCTGGAACTCGTTGGATACCTAAGCGGGAAATAACGACAATTTAAATAACGTGTGAGAAGTGTGTTGGTGAGGTGATGTTCGTTACGCACGAAACGTAGTACTATAGAGGACTTTCCGACGGCAGCTTCGCCTGTAATATAAGAGCATCAGAAGATGGTCCTCAGAGAAAAGGCAATATCAAATGCGCTGGTTGCGAAGACAGCGACCACGAGGGATGACCTGATAACATTGAGGGATAAAATGAGGAGAAAAGCGTACCTAGGAGAACAAGCTTGACTTGGACAGATTTGTCCGACGGACCAGACGCGCTCTCAGCCATGAATGCGAGTGAATCGACAGAGGAGATGGAGAAGAGGAAAGGCTAATAAACGCGGTTAGTGTTGGTGATGGTGGTAGACAAGCAGCAGGACGCAGTGTCGTCGTGGCCCGTGACGTCCGTCGTCCACGTTTGGCAGGCGGCGACCAGTGCGCAGATCCACACTAATAAATAATAACAATAAACACACAGCTTTATTTTTCATAAATTACAGTGACTAGTAACATGTCTAGCAGTGATCCAGTGGACGACCCCATCGTGGCAGTATTGCCTATTCGCCTCTCAACCGCACTCTCCCCGAACGTCCAGCTTCATCAATTCCCCCTCCTCACTAGACCACTCCAAGTCCCACCTTCTGCAGCTCAAAGCGGAAAGAAAATTCGTGCACGAGTCAAGCCGAAAGCTGCTCGACTCGAGGTACACGTTCCAGTGGATACTCGTCCAGAAGTATGGAACAAGGAACGAGCAGAAGAGCTCGGTAAAGCGAGGGCCATAGACGATGCGGAGAAGAACTTGTGGTCGAAGAAAGGAAATGAAAGCACCCGCGACGAACGATTATCAGAAGTTCGTATGAGGAGCGAACAGGTCCCAGAAAGAGGGAGTTATATGCTTGGTATTGTTCGTAATGGTTAGTGACCAAATCAATTACATTTAATATCGTTAGTAACTTGTTGACTAGGTCATTTGCATCTCCATCCGATTAGCCAGACTCACCAGCTTCGACCTACTCTGACTTACATGGACGTACTCAATCGCAAAAGTCGACGAACAAGAACTAGTGCTGACGAAGATTCCGATTCCGACGAGGGGCCGCCTCCGGACCCAGATGACCCGAATCCTCCGTCACCAGTTAAAAGGGAACCCAAGTCAACTGGCGAATCGAGGGACGTAACTGTATCAATTCGCAAGGCAGACGACAAAGGTGCCCAATCTCTAACAGGAGGACTGACGGCAGCACGCCGTGAAATGTTGCACACACTACGTCTGGAAGAGGAAGAACCTTGGGAGGATTTTGAATACTGTGATGGAGAGGTGCGTTTTTCAATCCTGTTCCGCGCTTTAATATTTACGACTGACTTTTCTAGTCTGTGGAAGCTCAAGAAAGTTTTGAAGCAGTCTTTTCCAAATCGGAAGATAAGCTCGCATGCAAATCAGATTTCTCTTCTTTTCTACAAAGTATTCCAGGGTTATGATTGGGATGATAGTGAAATACAGACAGTGAAATACAGACTATGAGGAGGTAAAAGGATTGTGATGCGTTGAAGCAAGTACAGACAAAAAGTGATGAGGTAATTGAACAGAGAAAAATACAAATGCAGTTAATTCTTTTCCAAGTAAAACAACGATCGTGGTCGAGAACTGGTGTCAGAATACCTTGACACCGAGTCGCGAGAAGGAGCATCAGACCACCGTATGAGGGAAATGCGCGGATTTCTGTCAAGGTCGAGAGGCAAGACTGGCGCGTCGGGAAGTAAGGATTCCGCTCCAGGTGAACAAGGTGGTTGATCTGGAGCCAAATGGCACTCGTGCCGTGCAACACTCGTGTTTGCACCATTTGAAGATCCAACTATGAACTCGAAGTCCTCGAACGGATTTTCGGATGCATTTGACACATTCCTAGATGGCTCTTCCCGCGCGTCCCTCGCATTAATGTTACCGCTAGCGCCTGCTGGCGGTTCTGCTGATGGTTGCGTTCTCCATGAATTAGAATTGTAAGGAATACTTTCGTTTATAGGACCTTGGTGCGCTGCACCGTTGTCTGATTTATCCACGTTGTAAAGCGAATCCCATGTCGATGGGTGCTGAAGGAAGGCTTCGCGTTCATGTCGCTCTACGACACGCCCAAAGCTATGAATAACTAGTACCGAAAGGATACCCCCTGAATTTCCCACAAGGTTAGTGATCGATTCAAGCTACCAGTTATGAGTACGTACAATATGAGCCGACGAAAACTTCTGGGTCGATCGATTTACTCCGAAATGCTCCCACCAGGCCCAGTACCGTTGCAATAACGTTGAATAATGTGATCAAAGCCGTATGGGCCAACTAAAGCTTTTTGTAAGCACAAAACAAGTATAACTGATGTTGATATCCTTACCTCATTTCGCATTACCTCTCGGAATAACCTCATACGGGTCATTAGAGGACCCAGACTCCGAGTCCTAGAAGGTGTTGAAGAATGCGGCACAGAAGCAACGCTGAAGCGCGATTGTTCCGAGTTGTCTTGGAAATGAACGAACGACGGCTTCGACCGATGCGAGCGTTGAATAGGTGCAACCAGGGTTGCCTCGGAGCCCTTACGCTTGGCATTTTCCGCTGACGTCCCATCCTTTATCCATGCTCCTACCAAATACCGCATGTTTCCGACAAAGCCTTGGTCATCGACAACATGCCATGTCGGAGCACGAGATTGTTGTTGCATTTCCGAAGGGTTCGCATTCGGGCGTGTTTCCGGTACATAATCCCACCATCCGCGCGGTCGCACCGCTGTTGAGCCCTCTTTCTCATTAGTGACCGGCGGCGGCGGGGTATTACTTGTAAGGTAAATCGATATCCGGCCTTGGGCAGCAGGAAGCTTTTCTGACTTCCATAATGCATAGATGACTACGGCGGGTAAATATATCAGCTTAAAAATAAGAGTGATTTAGCAAGTCACAACGCACAGCAGAGACATATGAATAACGCTATTACGAAGCGTATGGTGGTCGCAAGGGAGAAGAAAATGGGATCTTTTGTCACCGTACAGATCACTAATGAAGTATTTAGTATGTCGAATTCCATGCCACGTGCATATATTGGGCTTACAGGAGAGCCTGCGGGAAGCATTCTGGTTTGCTAGGTCCAAGAAAGTCATGGTAGACGAAACGCCTTGCAATACGCAAATGATACAGAGGACGGCCTTGGAATCGTTTAGGCATCTGTAAGCCTTGACTCCGAGGATTCCGGAAAGCTAAGACGCGTTGAGTCCCCGAATTCAATAAACGACAGCAACACGCTTACAAGTATCGCAGAAGACAGTTCCGTAAAAAGTCCAGAGGCAACGAGAGCGCTGAAACAACGTGAGGCCAACGACCACATAGCGTAAAATATAATAACATACGCTCGACAATTTATTCCTGTGGCAAGGACTGTCGCGGCGGTGAGCGCAAACGAGACGACACCACACAACTGGCTAATTAATAGCGCGTAGAATAGTCCCTTGTACTTCACTCTCCCTCGTCGAATATAGTCTGCCGAGACAATTGAGGTTATAATGAAGAGCATGAGCATCATCCCGGAGAACAATAAAGTCCAGTCTCCCCGGCGTACACCCGCGATGTAAGGATCTGCAACGAGGGAGCCATCGGGAAATGTAGAGTATGACGGGCGGAATTGCGCAAGAGGCGTTGCCGTGTAGAAGCTTGAATAATCCGGTATAAGCACTTGAGTCGATAGTTGCACAAGAACTTCGTTAGGTGTGGCAGAACATGAGCTAGCGCGCGGTAGGAGGGCCGGAGGCTCCGTCACGAATGGTGCAGATAGTGGAGAGATAGATCGGGATGCCAATGTCGGAAGAAATGCACTAAGTTGCGTTCGAGTCGGTGAAGCAAAGGGAGAGTTGAGAGGGCGCAGAGAGCCCGACATGGCCTGCTGGGCTGCTTCGGATTGTGTTGAGATAACAAGTCTTCCAGGAGAGCCAGTGTTATGGAGAGGACTAAGTAGTCGACACAGAGGAGGAGGCCCGGCATAACTGACTGTAGCTCAAGGGGCGGCTGGGGTAAATAAGAGACAGTTGCTGGTGCAACCCGCGGCGGCCCGGTGACATGCCTGAGAGCGTAGGGCTCGAGAGAGAGCAACAGAGTATTTCTCTCGCGGACTTCCGGCAGTCGAAATAAAAAGCTAATCGCCGGCACGTGCCCGATCGCTGATCATCAAAAAGCGAATCAGTTGCGCTTACGTCATACATCACTTTGCAATTTTAATTTTTCCCTCATGTATCCAAATTGTGCAATACTCCAGTACTCATGGATGCACTGGAGAACAACACTGTCCCGGAGCAGGTACCCAGACAAGCCCCAGTCATTCTCATCACTGGCACTCCCGGAACCGGCAAATCAACTCATGCCCAGCTTCTAGTCGAGCAGGCTCCTGTTCCGCTCAAGCACATCAATGTCGGCGAGCTCGTCAAGGAAAAGGGCCTGCACCAAGGTTTCGACGAAGAATGGCAGTCATACACCGTTGACGAGGACAAAGTGAGCAGTTCTTGCTTGTGATATCGATCGTATGCCTCACCGACCGGCATAGTTATTGGACGAGCTTGAGCCGGTCGTTACGCAAGGCGGCTTTATCCTAGATTGGCATACATGCGACTTGTTCCCAGAGCGATGGATCGATCTAGTTGTCGTTCTTCGATGCGACCATACCCAACTCTGGGAACGACTTGAGAAAAGGTGGGTGTTTGGACACACTCTCCTCCTCATCACCAGTGCTCCACTCATTAGTTGCTGTCACCAGGAACTATCCCTTGAATAAGATTCAAGAAAATAATGAGGCGGAGATTATGCAAGTTGTTCTTGATGAGGCAAGGGAATCATATGCAGAAGAGATCGTCATTGAACTTAAAAGCGAATCAACGGACGATTTGGAGAGTAATGTAGAGCGCCTCGTGGAGTGGGTGCGAGCATGGCGGCGAAATCATGGTTTCAAGGATGACGCCACCCCGCCTCAGTCTACGACATGAAACACTTCTTGGGTATAATCCCTTAGAGTTTGGATGCTCTTCACATAATGAAATGAAACAGTACAGTACAACATATGAGCAAAAAGTGTCCTAAAGAAACTGTCCTTGCAATACTTCGTGCTTCATTCACAGGGAAGAAACCTCCCGCAGTAACGTCACTTGTGCCCATAACTGCCGTTATAGTTGTAGTAACGACACCCCTAAAATAAGTAATTATTAACGCGTGATCGGGAGGACCAGATGCTAGCTGGTACTGAAACTTACGTAGTTGTAAAGACAGACGTTTGTCCGTTCGTGACCGTTTCGGTCTGAGTTGTGGTTGAGAGTACCACCATCGTTGCGGTAGTAATTGGTCCAGTACCGGTTCCGCTAGGCTCGATGGTCCATTGCGTCGGTAGGCCTGACGAGCCGACAGTAATCGTCGGTATATTCCCGTCCGAAAGGCCTGACATAGTAAGTCCTGATTGAGGGTCTAAATAAGGATTGATTGCCGGGGCCGAGTCGGGTTGTGGTTGGTCTTGAAGTGGATTGGAGAGGCTATCGCATTGCGTTGAATCGGCGCTCTTGTGGTTATTGTCAACCGTGACGTTGATGGAAGTAATTGAAAAGAACGGCTGTGAAGATACACACGGTAAACCCAAGCCCACGATTATAACGGAGCCAAGAACTTCACCTGGTTATTTATGTGCGAAGCTTCATAGTAAGTTAGCTGGGATACGGTGCATAAGGACTTATGTTATCATTCTCCCTGATGACTGGCTTACATTGTAAACGCCAGCAGACATGCATGGTGGTAAAGGCCAGTTAAGATGCTTCACTGTACTACCAGGCTCCTGTGCCAGGAATCCTGTCCCGTTTGAAACGGTGAAGTTTGAACGAGCCTGCGCCGAGACCAAGTATATTTCTAGGGAGTCATATCGCGTCGGCGCCCCAGAACCAGGAATAAACAAGCTCTGATCTATTTTGCCATCCCCAGAAAGCTATACAAGAAGACAACCAGAGTAAGTTTTCCGACATGTGCGCATCTCTATATGTATCTGCGATGAAACATACGTCAACGGCGATAACAAGGTCACTTCCTGCGTGTTGAGAGCTTTAAAAACATCAAATCTTCATTCAGTTCTCGCGGTCATCTATTCAAACACGCACCTTCCTGGAGCTGGGGCGTCACTTATAGCAAGGCCCTTCGTAAAATACTGCCCGTTACTGGGGAACGCCTGGCCCCTCGCTAAAAGTGGTACACAGAACAACGTCCATATCACAAGCAGTTGAATTGGATGAATAGCGACGGTGATGTAGCGTGTCAGCTTCTTGGTACGCCCGGTGAGAGAGTCGCTTTTGCTAGACATAACGCGGGAGCTGAACTGCTCCTGGCTCATTGTAACCGCCATTCTCATGAAAGATTGAAATGAAGACCGTTTCAAGTCGGTCGCTGAAGGGGATAATATGAGTGAGAAAAAAGCTGCCGATGGCAGACGCTGGCAAACTGAGATGTGCATTGCTGGTGCCCGCAATGACCGAGCGAAAGGAGCTCGGTGTCTATTTGAACATGATGTATGGCAACAGAATCAAGTTGCAGCGTTTGCAGTGTCCGTTTTCTGCCTTAATTACAGGCATTGGACGTTCCTTTAAACACCAATTTTGTTTTCCCCCGCATTTCTTTCCACATCAAAAATTTACTTAAAAATTTATGTATCTAATGATTATATGTATAATACTATATGCCTGAATTTTTCCAAGCTATTAAGTGCTGTAAAAAAATTAATATGAAGATAAGAAAAAAGTGAGATTTTGTCACGAAAGTCGTTCCTTTGAACACCCCTGTGACACTCCATCACGCTGGCACGCATTCAACCTGTCCACCCCTATCTTCTCAACTTGTGCTCCTACGTTCACTCTCAGCTCACTCCTCTTGCTCTTGTTTATACAGGCAATTGTTCTATAGTCATATCTGCACCTTCAGGCAAAATTCCTGCATTATTTGTTGTGTCTTCACAGGTCTAGGTTGTATTCACCATATTCAGACACTGCTTCTTCTTTGTCAAGGCCCCTCTCTCATATTATGTTATCCTGGACTTGTTTTTTTTGTTGGTCTAGAAGGTCTAGGGCTCCAATAAGCCCTTGGGAGCCCTTCCTCCCTCCAAGTAGAGTATTTAGCCTGCCATTTGGCAAGCTCTTTGTCATGGTAAGTCTTGATTTGTTTCCATTCACTTTCAATCATATTATTAACTTCCTTCTTCCTTTTAGCCTCCTCCTTTCTTGCCTGGACCTCCTTCTCTTCCCTTTCCCTGTATTCCTTCTTCTGCCTGAGCTTTTCCCTGGTCTCATCTGAGGTCATAATCTTTGACATTCCATCATCAAATATCTATGAGTTCTCTGTTGTTTTTCCTTTCTCTGTCAGCAACAGCATAGAGGGGACCCAAAGGCTCAGTGAGGGGACTCAGGCTACAACTATCCTACACAACAGAAATACAGAATGCAAGCACCAGAATGTAGTCAGAACTTGCAGAACAGGCAGAGAGAGAGAGTGAGACAAGAGTAGAGTATATAGAGTGAGCCTAAGAGTACAGGACTACCTAGAGTAGACAAGATTAAGACTACTAGACCAGTCTGATCTTGTACA